TGGGCAGGCTCTTACACCACCAGCGCCCAGGCCGAGGGCGCCATCGATGGCACAGCGTCGGACTACGAGGTGGCGAGCGCCCACGCGACCGAGTTCACTTTTTCGAGGTTCGCGGCGGCAAAGGGCTCGCCTGTGGAGGGCACAAAAGGCGTGATCGAGGCCTCGTCCATCGACCGTGTCGCGGACCCCGCCACCGAACCGCAGCGTCGCCGGCTGTCAGAGGCGCCGTGCCCTCCGCCGTCGGCGGGAGGATCGACGGGCGAGCCCGCTGTCAGCGCGCCCCCTCCCGAGCCGCCGCTGCCACCGCCTCCCTTTTATTACAGCCCCGCGCCGCCGGATGTGTACAACCCCTCTCTCGCCGGCTGGGGGAAGGTCGACGATCACTACTGCGGCGGAAATAAGGGGGATGGCAGCATAGCGTACCCCAACTACAATGGAGCAAGTTGCTACTGCCAGCCAGGCATCAGCGACTCAGCCGACAATCCGGACCCAATACTGACCGCGGCCGCCTGCGCCGCCTTGGCGGATGAGCTAAGCTCCCACGCCTTCACCTTTGACGAACGCAAACTGTGCAAAATCTTCTCCTGCGACGGCCGGAAGACCATCCACAACCCGAATTCGGGTTTTCCTCCCTGTGAGGGTGGGTCCACCCGCAACTGCTACGACGCGGACGCGTTCCCGCTCAACTGCCCGGACTACTGCCTGCGCTCGATGGGAAGCCCCGGCGTGACCGATGCGGCCTGGGATTTGAAGGATAATTCCAACACGATGTACTACGCTCCGTGGGGCCCATCCCCCGGATCAACTTGCTACATGAAGGGCATCTTTCCTGTACGGCTGGGCGTCTACCCTGTCGGCACCGCCGGGGAGGACCTCTTTGCCGGCTGGGCGGCAGACAAGACGTGGGAAGGCGGACCCTGGCCCAGGCTCGCCACCTTGGACCAAAACACTGGGTGCGGCGAGTGCGACGACTGCGAGTGCATCAGCGTTTCCACTGCCCAGATATGCAAGAACGTGAGGGCCGCCCCCAACTACCAAAAATGGAAATGCGAATCCGCTCGCCCAGTTGGGGCGACGTGTATACCGGGAACCGCCGACTTTGCCCCGGTGGGGACACTGCCGATGGAAGCAGTTCAGTGGACAGAGGACGAGAACCCCACGTGCTCTTACGGTGTATGCCCTGTTCGCGCCGCCAAGCTCGCGGATGAAGCCCAGCGCCAATACCTTTGGCCGCACAATCTCTCCTGAGTTCTTTAGCGGCGCACCGTCACCAGTAACATTCCGTTTGGCCTGTGTTAGTGCCAGTGCGCGCCAGTCCCGTGCCCAGTGTTGTGCGAGGGAGCTTTGTTGTAAAATTCTTTTTGGCTAGCGCGCGCCAGTTCGCACCTGTGAGCTGTGTCGAGCCTGTCTGCTGTGAGAGAGAGTTGTTTTGTTTAAATTCTTTTGGCGAGGGAGCTTTGTTGTAAAATTCTTTTTGGCTCTTGGTGTCCGACGAACGTCCTCGTCGGGCGCTGAAGCCCCCCCCCCCCAAATGCGCTACGGCTTGCTTCCGCTGTTGCTATCCCCTCTTGCCCAAGGGAGGAGGCACTCACTGACTCGGTCCCAGCGGCGCCAGCCAAGGGGAGAGATGCCCCTCCGCCATCTCCCAGACGCGGCGGCCAAACGCCTCGTCGCGGGCGGCGGGCGCGCACGCGACGGGCGCGCACCGCTCGAGGTAGGCGCCGCGCAGCGATGAGACCTGTTCACAGCCAGCGGCGTGAAGAGACGCCGTTCACAGCAGTCTGGCAGTGTCTAGGAAGGAGACGTTGTCGCTGCCGGCAAAGACGACTGTCTAGGAAGTGTCTAGGAAGTGTCTAGAGGTGTCTAGGAAGCGTCTAGGGGCGGGGAGGAGACGTTGTCGCTGCCGGCGGCGAAGACGGTCGTCGCGGCCCCGTCGGCGAGGGGCGGCTGGAGGAAGCGGAAGAGGGGCGAGGCGACGGCGTAGAGCAACCGGACGGGCGCGGGGAAGTTGCGAGTGACGTCGGTGAGTGCGTTGGCCTAAGACTTGTCCTCAGGCTCACTGGACCAGCCCTCCCTCCTCGCGTCACGGCGGTGAGGGCGCCGGCCGGGTGCAAGCTCACACACACCACGCCGCTCGCGCCCTCGCGCCGCTGCAGCTCCGCCGTCAGGGCGACCTACTCCCGGCGCGACCTCGGCGCGTTCTCGGCGTGCTCCCGCGCGTCTGCAGCTCAGCAGTCCGGGCCCGGCCTGCGCGAGCTTTGAGCGCGCGTACGCGGGGAAGAGCGAGTAGGAGGCCTCGCTCATCGGGTCGGCGAGCAAGGTGGCGGGGTCTCCGTAGTGGTGCAGACAGGAGGCGACCTGCGAGCATGGGCTCGGGCGATCTCGGGAGATCTCGGGCGATCTCGGGAGATCTCGGGTGATCTGAGGTCATCCCCGGGTGATCCCGGGAGATCTCGGGAGATCTCGGGAGATCTCGGGAGATCTCGGGAGATCTCGGAAGATCTCGGGTCCGTGGCGGCGACCGAGACGACGCGGCCTCGCGAGCGGCGCAGCAGCGGCAGCAGCAGGCGGGCGAGGAGGTGGTGGCCTAAGGTCATCAGCTCGCTGAGAACTCATCGACTAGTTCATACGCAGCAGCAGCAGGGCGAGAGAGGTCGTGGCCGAGGGCGTGGCAGGCGAGGTTGGCTTCCCAGCCGTCGCGCGTCACACGCCTCTCTGGGTGCATCGCCCCCGCGTTGCAGATGAGCGCGTCGCACCTCCCGCCGGTAGCGAGGAGCTGCGCGGCGAAGGCTCGCACGGAGGCGCAGCTCTCCAGGTCGAGAGCGAGGAAGAGCGCGCGTTCGGGCGGCGCACCCGAGGCGCTGCAGGCGGCGCGGCACGCGGCGCGGCCTCGGGCCTGCTCAGCAAAGTAGCTCGTTGATGGACACACAGCTTGCAAGGCGGCGAGGCAGCGCGCCTCGCTGCGGCAGGCCAATATAACACATAATAAATGTAATATAGCGCGCCTCGCTGCGGCAGGCAAAGATGACTGTCGCGCCGCGCTCCAGCAGCTGCTCCGCCGTCGCGAGCCCGAGGCCGGCGGAGCTGCCCGTCACCACGACTGTACGGCCAGTGAGTGGCGGAAGCGGAGGCAGAGGGATGCGGACGAGCAGGCGGTGGGTCGCGAGGCAGGCGAGCCCACCCGCGGCGCCCAGCAGGGCCTCGTGCCCAACTGCGGCCGGCGCCACACGAGAGAGGTACAGCAACGAGCCCGTGGCCACGACGGCGACCGCGGCCCGCCTGGCGCCGGCCTCGCCCGAGACGGCGCTAAGCAGGAAGACGCCCAGCGCGTAGAGAAATGCGAGGAGGCAGGCGGCTGCTGCTGGCTTCGCGGCGACGCCGAAGAACGTCACGGCGAGGGCGAGGGCAACGACGAAGTCGAGCTGCATCGGTCGGGCAAGGCTGCGGAGAATTTTACCATGCTCGGACTGTAGAGAAGTGGATTCGGGCCTCAAACCACCGCTCTTTATACTCGTTTATTCACGAGGCGACCCCAGGGGAACCTGGGCTTCCTAGTGGCGTGCTGTGAATAAACAGCGAAGAAGACGCCTGGCCTCAAACAATAAGAATTCATGGTCTCGATATATCCTTTGGCGGGTTGGGTAGCGAGGATTGGTGTGACGCGATCCACGCAGGCGTGTTTTCTGACGGCCGACCGTCAGTGCACGGTTGCCCCTTCTCCGACTGCCCCGGCTAGCTCCCGAGCGCCGAGGTCGCGCGGGGCTGACCCCTGCGTCCCCCAAAAAATTCATCGAGGGACGAGGCCAAGTAAATTTCTCGCTCGACATTAGGCACGGGACTGGCGCGCACTGGCCCTAACACAGGTAAAGAATTCGTGCTGATCTAATTAAGACGGTTTTTCATTCCGCGCGACCGCGAGCGTGTCCTGTCCGCCCGCTCGCGCCGCATGGCGCCTTAGCCCTTACACATGCGGCCCGCATTTATGGCTTCGACGCGATAAAGAGTCGGGTACAACCATAAACTACGCTGAGTCTCGAACATCAATGTCCCACCCCGGCTCCGACCCGCACGGCGGCACGCCCACGAGCTTGGACTGCGCGCTTAAAACGGGCCGATTTGCAAGCCCGCCGCCTCGGAGATGACAGGCACCTGGTCGGGAAGCTCGCCGCGCGCGTTCGAGTAGAGCGCGTAGGTGACGACCAGCGCCATCGTGTAAAAGACAAAGTTTGAGCCGAGGATGGCGACGGAAGAAGGGACCATCCCGGCGGCGCCCGAGAAGAGCGACGGGATGATGAGCAGGATGTCGAGGACGAGGGCCTGCTGGATGTTGAAGCGCACGAAGCGCGAGAGGCCCGAGTCGGGGCGCGTGAAGAAGGAGAGCCCGATGAAGAAGATGATGCCGGAGAAGGGCAGCGAGTTGAAGGCGACCACGAGCGGCAGCACCGCCTCCGCAAAGCCGACGCCGCCGGGCACGTTGTTGAAGACGTACAGCCCGTACTGGAAGCCGTCCAGGAAGGGAAGCACGTACGGCAGCGTCGCAAACACACGCTCCACCGCCGGTGGCTCTCCCGACATGCGCGCCGCCGCTCGCGGCGGAGCGGCAGCAGCGGCTCTGCACCTGGCCAGCGGCGCCGTGCTCGAGCCCGGCGTGCGGGCAAAGGACGCAGCGCTGCGGGAAAAGGAGGCAGCGCTGCGGGAAAAGTGCGACGGCGAGAAGGCCACGCTGAGCGAGCACAGCGCAGCGTGAGCGAGCGCCATATGCCAAGGCAGAGAAAAAGCTGCCCGCCTTGACCCAACATAGAGGGCGTTGTGTAGCCTAGCTTTTGGGTAAAATAAAAAAGCTGCGGTAAGATTCAATCATCGAAATAATCGAAATCGAAAATATAAAAGTCCCAGTGGTTTCTTCCCGTGCTAACCTTGGCCTCCTGTGTGGTCCGCCACTGTCGGCAAGTGGCTCAAGCTCGGCCGCGGGCTGCTGCAGGCTTCCGCGTCGCCGCCGGATGTCCGGCCTACGCGTGCGCACGCCCAAGAAGGCGCGCGCGCGCCCTCCAGTGCCGCTGCCACGCTGCCGACCGCGCGCGGGCCTCGGTCGCTCACCGCCGCCCGCCCTCTCCCGCAGGCAAAGGACAACTACGACGAGGCGATCGAGGAGTACGAGCGGGAGCAGAACCCCAAGGCGATCAAGAATCGCGTGCGCAAGGCGCAAAAGGCGGCGGAGCAGGCGCTCGTGACGGGCGACAAGATGGCGCGCTGCGGCGCGGCGCTCAAGCTGCTCGGCTTGCGCGACGACGCGTACTGGTTCCAGGAGCCGGTGCCGGTGGGCGAGGTGCCCGACTACCTGGACATCGTCGAGGAGCCGATGGACTTCCGCACCATCGCCGGCCGCCTCGCCGGCGGCGAGTACGGCGACGACGCGCTCGCGTTTGCGTCGGACGTGCGGAAGGTCTTTACGAACGCCGTCAAGTACAACTGGTCGCCCGACCACCCGTGCAACATCGCTGCGCGGGCGGGGCTGCGCGAGTTCGAGCAGCTCTTCGCGCGCGCGAACGGCAACGGCTCCGCCCCCAAGCCGCCCCCGCCCTCCGCCCAGCCGCACAAGAAGCGCCACCGCGATGGCGGAGGAGGAGCCGTGGCCGGCAGCAGCAGCGGCGCGTCGGCGGCGGCGGTCGTCGGCGGCGGCGGCGGGGCGTCGGCGGCGGGCGGGGGCGGAGGCGGAGGGGGCGTCAAGCGTGCGCGCATGCGCGGCTCTGCCTCCGAGGCTGGCTCGGCGGACAGAGACCGCGAGCCGACCGGGCGCCGTCCACGAACCTTCTCGGAACCTTCCGGTAGGCTGGGTCGGCGGACAGAGACCGCGAGCTCATCGCGGGGCTGGGCGAGTACCTCGTGTCGTGCGGCGGCGCGGAGGGGCTGGTGGACGGCTGGTACACCCGGACGGAGGTCCGCAAGGGAGGGGGCACGGCCGGCACGTTCGACACGTACTTCTTCACGCCCGCCGGGAAGCGCTTCCGATCTCGCGCCGAGATCGCGCGGTTCTTCCAGCTCGAGGCGGCGCCGGCGAAGTCTGCCAAGTCGCAGGACGCCGAGGAGAGGAAGGCGCTGAAGAGCGCCGAGCGCGAGGCGAAGAAGCAGCAGAAGGAGGAAGCTGCGGCGGCGCGCCAGGCGCAGCTCGACGCGGAGCGGGCGCTGCGAGAGCGGTGCGCAGTCCGCCGGCGAGGCGCTGTTGGCTGGTCAGTGTGGGTAGCGGCGCATTGTGAATGGACAGGTACCCCGTCCCCGACGAGAGGTTGGCGGAGGAGGAGCCGCACGAGCCGCCTCTCGGCCCTCGCCCGACACCGCTGCCAGCAGGAACCGGCGCCGTGCCCGCCTCGGCTGTCGGCGACTTGCTGCAGGAGACGCGTCCCAGTCCCTTGCCCAGACACCGGACAGGCCCTTCCCCAGACACCGGGCAGGCCCTTCCCCAGACACCGGACAGGCCCTTCCCCAGACACCGGACAGGCCCTTCCCCAGACACCGGACAGGCCCTTCCCCAGACACCGGACAGGCCCTTCCCCAGACACCGGACAGGCCCTTCCCCAGACACCGGACAGGCCCTTCCCCAGACACCGGACAGGCCCTTCCCCAGACACCGGACAGGCCCTTCCCCAGACACCGGACAGGCCCTTCCCCAGACACCGGACAGGCCCTTCCCCAGACACCGGACAGGCCCTTCCCCAGACACCGGACAGGCCCTTGCCCAGACACCGGACAGCCCTCTCGGCCTGCTGCAGGTTTGCGACTTCCTGCGCGCACTCGGCCCCCAGCTGCAGCTGCCCTCGTACTCGCCTTCGGAGCTCGCGGCGGCACTGGTCGCGTCGGAGGGCGAGTCTGATGAATCGCTGAGTAACAGCTGAGTAACAGCCCGCTAATTAATGACAGGTCGAGTCGGAGGGCGAGCCGAACCCGAAGCTCGCTGACCTGACGCAGGCTTGCACTCTTGTATGGTAGGACAGTGTATTGCAACATCTCATAGCCGGCTTGACGCAGGCTTGCACTCTGCCTTGCAGCAGCGATCATAGCTGGCCGGCCTGCCGCAGGCTTACACTCTGTACTGCAGCAGCGATCATAGCTGGCCGGCCTGCCGCAGGCGCTGCTGCAGCTCGTGCTGACCGACAAGTCGCTCGGCGAGTGGTGGGGCGTGCGGGAGGCGCCGAACGGGCCAAAGGCGGCCTTTGCGAGGGCGTCGTCCGACTCGAAGAAGGTCAAGTGGTGGGAGGCGGACGCGAAGCCGCTGCTCAAGGTCGACCTCGAGGCGATCCTCGCGTCGAGCGAGCCGACGTCGCGCACTCGCCGCTGGGTGGCGCAGCTCGAGACGGTTGCTCCGATGCGCACAAACACCGGCGTCCCGATCCGGCAAGCGCTGGTTGCGGCGAGGGCCATCTCCTCCGACGGCGAGGTGCGGAGGTACCTCGACCGCGCAATCTCGCACTGGAAGGGCAACGCCGCGGGCACGACAAAGTTCGCCGCTCTTTGGCTCGCGGCCCAGGTCCGGCGGAGCCGGCCGCAGATCTTCACGGCGGAGGGGATGGCGGCGGTCGAGGCGGAGGAGGACGGCGGCGTGGACACGTCCTTGGACACGTCCGAGGACGTGCCCCCGCCCGAGGAGGAGGAGGACGGCGCCTCGGAGCTCGCGCCGTCGGAGGTTGCTAATTAATATTAATTAGCTATTAATTAGCCTCGGAGCTCGCGCCGTCGGAGGTTGCTCCGTCGGAGTTAATTAATAGCTCATTTTTAGCTCTGTGATCGTTAGTAGCTCATTGCTTGATTACAGGCTGCTCCTTCGGAGCTAATTAATAGCTCATTACTAGCTCATTGATCGCTCATTACTAGCTCACTGCTTGATTACAGGCTGCTCCGTCGGAGCTAATTGATAGCTCATTACTAGCTCATTGATCGCTCGTTAGTAGCTCATTGCTTGATTACAGGCTGCCCCCTCGGAGCTAGTTGATAGCTCATTACTAGCTCATTGATCGCTCATTAGTAGCTCATTGCTTGATTACAGGCTGCCCCCTCGGAGCTAGTGATAGCTC